ACACAGTTCAGTTTCAAGAGAAACACTGACCACAACAACCTCAACCTAACAGATTTGTGCTGACATAAAAGGGGATTTCAAAGTTGTGTTAGCCCAGCAGCTAGCACACCAGCTTGCACAGAGAGCTTTAACACGAGTCACGTTTGGTGTCTGACACTAAAGTTACTATCTGTCCTGGAAGAAGAGAAATAAATGTCGAACAAAGGTGACCCTGCAGTGTCGTCAAAAACACAGCCATCATACAACACCCAACCAGCTGATTTAATAAATGAGTATGATGTAGCTTTTGGTCAATTCTCAAATGTGTTTATGTTACCACGTTAGTTATTACAGCCTGTAGTGAACCAGTGAAGATGCCCATAGTTTACATGCAATCCAATATATCACCTCATTTATCCACCTGGGTAATTACAGGAAGTTAGTCTACAGCAACACTATTAGACATTTGATTAAAGAGATGCTACTTAGGTGGATTGGTTGTGTCCATACTGAGATGACATCATACTGACCAGAGATGCACAGATTTGGAAAAATCAGGACCGATGCTTGATACCGATGTTTGAAATAACAATTCAGCTGATTGCCAATTCTGATACCGATGTTTGTTTCTTCTTTTGGTGTAATGCTGCATTCATGTGGTGTCGACCAAATTGAGTTGTAAAATGCACACGAACACCTGCTCAAGTCGGAACAACAAGTCGGAAACTCGGAAAAGAAGGAGGTGCCCGACTTCCCGACTTGACGTCATAATCGTCATCAAATGGGGGGGCAAAATATGTTTTGTTAATGTTAACATACTTTTAATTCATTCATGTATTGCATATAAACTTTTTGCTCAAATATAACTTTTAACAGTAACATTTCACAGATCTTCTTCTTCGTGCCATCAACGCTTTTTTGTGCTGTTGTTACAACATTACGACTTTCTGAGCTGAAATCACGTGAACACACTGAAGTCGGAAGAACGACTTCCCAACTTGGAAACTTGGACCACCCGAGCAGCACCTGAATGCAGCAGCATATGACTCCCACAATGCCACCACCCTTTTTGGTTTTCTCCGGTTTTATCTCAGGTGTGAGAATGAAAACAAGTCAGAGTTTGTCCAACAGGTGATTTAATCTGCCCAATAAAAAACCTCTTAACTGAATCAGTATTTAGGTGAACTCATGCTGCATTCAGGTGCTCCTTGGATGGTCCCATATCCCCGAGTTGGGAAGTCGCTCTTCCCGACCTCAGTCTGTTCACGTGAAGTTCAGTTCGGGAAGTCGTAATGTTGTAACAACTACAACAACAAAAAAAGTGTGGCTGCTACAAAGAAGATGAGTGAATGTTTCTGTTGTTATATTCGAGCAAAAAAGTTGATGTGCAATATTTCAATTCATAAAAAAAGTATCTTAACATTAACAAAAACATATCTTTCCCCCCCGTGTGATGACGAATATGACGTCAAGTTTCCGACTTGAGCAGCATGTGCATTTTACAACCCAGAAAAATGTTTTCCTGATGGGTCCGATACCACATGAATGCATCATAAGTACAAGCATTAAATTGATTTGGCACAACAAATAGGCCTCGGCTACTGACGTGGGTCATGCTTCATTATTTGTCGATGTGCAGACGCCTGTCAGTAAGGTCGATATCATCCAATACCGACGTTGAGCCGATGCAATCCTATTTAATATGCCATATGAAAGCCTGTTTTTTTTGGGTTTTTTTTGCAGGTCTACAATTGTACAAACAAGGAAAGATGCATGATAGCTCTTAACACTGCCAGATTCTGTTGTGTTTAAAACTCGATATCAAGTGCTTTGTTTTGCATCGATCATAATTTAGCTTTCCACTTCAGATCAGAAAGTGAATCTTACTGTACTACTCAAATCATGAACACTTTCCTGTTTTCTCTTGCTCTAAGGTGGAGGAGGCTGACCAGATCTACCTGCTGATGAAAGAGGAGTATCGGATATCTAGGAATGTGCGTCTTGCATGGTTCCTTGGTAAACTAAACCAAGTCATCTGGCCAGCCTCAAAGCCGGAACTAGTGAGTGTTTCCTGTCTTTCTTTCTTTCTTTCTTTCTTTCTTCTCTGTTCTTGTTCTCATTGGTGGTCCGGCACACCGAGTTTGAAAAGTAGCTGATGGTGTGGGTGTGCTACTCTTCTGAGAATTGTTACATAAAAATTCTGAATGGTTTGTCACTGCTAACTTTTACCACCGAGATCCATGTTTTCTACTGGCTTATTAGCCCTCACACCTGACAGGTACAGATTATTTGAGGCACCCCATCGATGATTATACGTTTTGCTTTCATATGTAACCTATAGCAGGAGAGAGGAAGATGGTGACAGGCAGGCTGGCGGGTCCTGCTGAAACTCCAGGCCATAAAACACCATGCTGACTTTGACAGTCCTCAATCCTCTACAGAACGTATAGATGCAGTACTGCTCTAAATGTGGCACTGCTGGTGTGTCACCCTTATGTACTGTTGACCAGACACCATCGACCAGTCTTTGACCATCATCACTTTATGCTGTTATATGACACATCAAAACGATATTTATAGTCCTGCACAATATGAGACGAATATGAGACGTGCGATAGCATTGTCCAATAATGGGACAATTATATGAAGCACGATAAATTAACAAATATAGAAGAGTGTACGTTACCCTTAACTAGTCTTTCTGCTGTTTTCCATGTATTTTTTTTTTTTTTTTTAAGATTTATTTTGGGGCTTTTTATGCCGTCATTGTAGAGATAGGACAGTGGATAGAGTTGGAAATTGGGAGAGAGAGGTAAATGACATGCGGGAAGGGATCCACAGGTCGGATTAAAACCCGGGCCGCCCGCCTAGAGGACCACAGCCTCCATACATGGGTTGTGCACCCAGACAACCGACACCCCCCTGTTTTTCATGTTTTACACAACACCTATGTTGCAACATAGTTCTCCTGAATCTAAAATCAATCCAAAATAGTTTTTTTTCCTCCACTTATTTGGCATCATTAGTCTGAGGGTAGCAGATAGCCACTTTGAGCTTCATCTTACTGCAGCAAAATGTTTTAAACCTGAACTGAAACACACACACACACACACACACACACACACACACACACACACACACACACACACACACACACACACACACACACACACACACACACACACACACACACACACCGGTATAATCTAAGAAAAATTAGATCTACCAGTGAAACATGACCGACCGGTCAAAGTCAACAGTGACATTTTCCATGAGCACTTTCCAAACTCTGTCATTCTGTGATGTATGTCCTCTACAACTATTTTTCCGAAAAATGTAAATGCAATGTCAATCAATCTAATTTTAGTTTGTATAGTGCTAATTATTAACAAATGTTATTTCAAGACACTTTACCAAAAGAGAAGGTCTAGTCCGTACTCTCTGTTATATTAAAGTCTTTAAGTTGTTTTTATTGAAGAAACATAGATGGGATAATCAAATGTAATGTAGTTGATTTCTTATGGATGTGAGACATGTATTAAAGAGGACATATTATTCCCCTTTTCCATCTTTTCAAACAATCCCCTGTAGTCTAAATGAAACATTTGTTTCAGCTCTCTCAGAACGCTCTGTTTTGGTGTGTGTGTCTTTAAATGCAAGGGGCCCCCCCCCTGAGTTTTCCTGGTAGACATCAATCCTCTGTAGTGAGAATAAAAATGGTGGACCTGCGCTAAAGTTTTGCTGTAGGCTGGGGGTGGAGTCCATGGGTGGAGATACCAGGGGAGGGGAGGGCATTTTTTTTTACCAGAATCCCACTGTGACATCACAAGGAGAGCACATTTGAAACAGAGCCTTTTTCTCTGTGTTGTAAGACTTATGCAGGCCACAAACAAAGGACTGGATGGGTGTATTTCACATTTTGTGGGTCAGTAGACACTCAGGTTACCCAAATATATGTTCAAAAACACTGTCAAAGTGGATTTTTATAATATGTCCCCTTTAATGAATTATATTAAGGTTAAAAAAGGTGGTCTGAATGAAACTTTGACCTTCCAGCAGTGTTGAAAACAAGTAGTGAAAGGATAACCTGAAAGTTTCAGACACACATTTCAGTTGTTGATAAAAGGAATCTGATCTGGTGTCGTTTGTGTCTCTGGATTTATTCACAGCTGAACTCAGAGAACGAATTGGACTTGCTCAGCATCTTACCCAAAGGATGGCAGTCGGAGTTCTCCCCCTCGATGTACCCCTACATGTTGATGCCATCCTCTCGGGCCACCTTCCTGGCCCGGAGGTACCGCTTCATCATCGAGCTGGACCTCAGCCCCTCGACAGGGATTGTGGTGAGACTTGAAGTTTATCGTGAACAGCGTCTTTGAAGTTATTTCCCCAAGTGGTGAAACATTTGTAAAACACATTAAGAATAACTCTAATGGGTTTTTATCAGGACCTCAGTCACTCTGTCACTGTTGGATACTCTGTTAATACAACAGATTCACAGCTGGTATATTAGTATGGGCCTTAAACTAAAGAGTAATGCTATCTATGTGTGTGTGTGTTTTCTCCTTCTGCAGGATGACAGCACAGGAGAGATGATATTCGATGAGGTGTTTCATGCCTTGTCCCGATGTTTGACTGGTCTCAGTCAGCCGTTTAAAGTCCCGGGAACGGAGGAAGTTTTCAAGCCCAAGATCTTCATCACCATCTTGGTGTATTCATCAATTATCGGACTTACATCCCATCAGGTTAATGCTCTGCTTTTATTTATTTATTTTTTCCGGTCTTTTACAAAGTAGATGAGATCTTAAGAGTCTTGAAATGAAAGGATAAATTAAAGCCCCCCATTCCGCGTCCGTGCGTTAAGGGTCACATATTATCCTCCCTTATGACAACTTTAAATAAGTCTCAGAGCTCCCCAAAACATGTGTGTGAAGTTTCTTGTTCTAAATCCACTCTGATCCTGTATTTGATCATGTCTATAAACCCCTCTATTTCAGCCCTGATCAGAACACACTGTTTCTGTGTCTGTACCACATTTTCTGAAAAATGGAGCAGGCAAGAGATGGAGAGGATGAACTTTTCTCATAATTGGGGGGTTTGTAGACAGACTAGGGACACATATTAGTGTTGCAGATGAAACATAACAAATACGGAAATATCACATCTGGAACTGGCAGAATATAAGAGCCACAAAACAAACTTAAACTTGATTGACCTTTGGTGTATTAAAGAAACACCTGGGAATAGTTCTATCCTATATTCTTCCATTTTAGTTATTCTGTTGCTTATCATTTAAGCAGCCAAATGCTCTAACTGTTTTTTAAATGGATACTCGTTATACTTATCTGACATAATTTGGCTCGAAATCACAATCATACGTATCTGTGAGGAGAAATTACATCATGCAAAAATGTATTTGGACACACCAGTGTGACTGACTCTGTGTTCTGACACCGGCATTGAGCAAATGCAGAGATAGACTAAGCTCTCACAGAACAGAATCTATTCAGTCATTCATATTACCAAAGAATGGTGTACAAACAGGCAGCGGATTTGTTCCCTGCACTATGTAACTGGTGAGACAATAAGGATACTTTATTGTCACTATTATACAGTCAGGGGGGAAATATCCAGATGTTTCAACAAAAAAAGAGATGGATACTAGAGCCCGACCGATCAATCAGCCAGCCGATAATATCGGCCGATATTAGCAAATCAAGTCACTATCGGTATCGGCTAATTTTGCCGATATTTGTAGATTTATTCACTAGTCCAATAGCAAGTTGAGTATCGTTGTATTAAACTAGCATTTGTCTTTCTTTCTGTCACCAGAAAAGTGTGTGCTGTATGGATTATAACAAGCATCATCCCTCTCCAGAGTATCAAGTGGTGATGAAAGTACAGGCACGGTTACTTTCCACTTGTGTTTGATAAATCAACACAATAAATGTGTAGATCTATCTCTACGGATTGAAGATAGATCTAAGAAACATATCTGCCAATATATCGGTATCTGAGGCTTTTTCTCCCTAATTTCGATTTATCGGTATCGGCCCCAAAAATTCCATATCGGTCGGGCCCTAATGAATACATCATCTGCAATACAGCCATCTGGTTGATCTTCATTTAGCACTTTCAGGAGTCACATTCCCCCACTTCAACTTTACTTTCTGTCACAACTTTTCACACTTATTTTCATGAAATGTAAAGACTCAAACTCTTAACTTGGGGGCTCCTGTGACCTTTAAATCAAAGTAAGCACAGAGCCCTGATGTTTTCCTCCATGTGATGCATGAAGCTGCTGTTGTTGTAGATGCATTGATCTGACAGTCTTTCTTTCCCCTTCAGGTTTTAGTTCAGGGCTGTCAGCTTGATAGGACGGACCTTGATGAGTTCCTGCATCAAATCTATCAGCAGCTCAGAGCAGTGGAGAGCAACATCGCACAAGTCCTTCATCAGCAGCACGAACAGGCAAGTGAACAGTATTGATATCATATGTACAGTATATGATGTTCTGTATTTAGTTCTTACCTGTTCAACAATCCAATGTGCAGACCCACAACAACAACAATGGATGTATGAGTATTGAGTATGCGTCCAAAGCTGAAACATCATATTGTCATGCTGAAACTATAAAACACTTCCTCACTGTTTACACGTAGTCAACTTTATTTATCCCAGAGTGCAGCTCGTTCCACGCTCCACACAGACCATACATACATCTGCAAACAAACAACAGCTGGAGTTTGTCAGAGACAACGAACAAAGAAGCTGACAGAGATTATCGCCCGCACGCTGACACCCTCGTGTTGTCACTTTGGGTAATGACACCCAGGAGGTGCATGACTTTTTTTTCTTTGCTTTTAGCCTCTGGAGCAAGTCCAAAATTCAGGTGTCCATGGCAACAACCTCGATGAGCAGTCGCACAGAAAGCAGAGCATCTCCATCGTGTCAGCTGATATGGGTCTCGTCAGCATGGTACGCCAAGGCATCCTGGCCCTTCAGCTGCTGCCTCCAAACTCCAGTGCTGGTAGGTTTCTCTGAAGGACCCCAAGTTGTTACTCAGTTTCTCCATTAACGTCCTCAGCATCTGAAAAGTACAACTTCCTGGTTTTCAATCCAGCTTTAACGTGTTAAATGTTCACTTATCTGCTCTTTAACTCACACATCATCTGAGTATTTATTTTTTTTACTTCAAAATAACAATAAAATAGGGCGCCGGTAGCCTAGTGGTTACTGCGTGAACTCGTCCTGCTCTCAAGTCGAAGCTAACGATCAAATCGACGCCATGTCCTGCACTCTAGCTTCTGATTGGTTATTTCCTGTTTCAGTTGGAAATACGTCACGACACGCCAGTTAGATACTCTTGAAGGTCCGTTTCATGGGGACTTTTTCAGCTCATCTTGAGCATCAGGACGCTTAACTTTATATTCTTTAAATAAATTAGAAATAGTGTGGAGTAGTTGTTGATGAATTAGAAAAAGGAGCTAAGGTACACGTTGAATCCCTACTTACTTTAATATCTCCAGACTTTTAGAATATGTGAATCATTTGTTTATTGTTGTTTTTCAGGTATCATTATAATCACAGATGGAGTGACTAGTGTTCCCGATGTAGCCGTGTGTGAAACCCTGCTCAACCAGCTCAGGAGTGGAACTATCGCATGCTCCTTTGTGCAGGTAAGGACCAAAACATCTTGAGGTTTGCTCTGTTGAAATATTTGATTCTGTGCTCTCGCTGGTATTTAAAGGTGTTGTTGCTGTTTCTTCTTCTTACCTGTTTACCCTTTGAATTGCACTTGGACAATAATATTCCAGTTTAAAAGAAGGGAGTGGGTTTAATCCTCAACCGCTTTTATAACCTAGAAGATAAAGAAATGACGAGGGAACGCTGAGATTTTAGGATAATATTAGAAACATGCATTTACCGCTGAGGTCGGAGCAGGCCGTGCGTGACTGAGGACGGTGGTGGTGGTGATTTCCTCACTGAAGGTTGGAGGAGCTCTGTCTATTGGAGAGCCTCCCCAAGACCACTGTTTATAGAAATGTCACGCAGCAGGGATTCTGCTGTAGAAGCAGTTCTGTCACTTTGCTCCTGAATGGAGAAGGCGTGTTATGAAAGCGTGATTGCTGTTCTTGTCATTGTGTTTATGCCTCTCCAGGTTGGCGGTGCGTACTCCTATGACTGCAGCTTTGGCTACATCCCCAACGTGGAGCTGATGAAGTTCATCTCATTGGCCACCTTCGGTTCCTTCCTGCCTACCTGTCCTGATGTCGACTTGAACAGCCAGGAGATGAATGCGTATCACAAGGCCTTCCTGACCTATTCCTTCCTTAAAACTCCTGAGTCCATGAACTCCGAGTACTTCTGCGGTGAGCAGTCAAAGATTCATGTGTTACTTTCTGCTTTATTGACACTATGCATATATTTTAAGATTAAGACATACTTTATTAATCCCACGAGGGGAAACTAAATTTCACACTTTGATATTGAACATGCTACACACATACTGTGCCTTGCTCAAGGGCACCCATGGAAGCAAACTAGCACCTCTCCCTCCGCCCACCAAGTTTGCAATTACAAACGTACCCCCCCCACCCCCCCCCCACCCCCATGAGACATTTAAACACACTGTGTGAAAGTATCAGTATTTTGCCATGCAGTTGTTATTCTTACATTCTGATAAATATTGAAAAGGCCAAAATAGACGGTTTAAAAATTCAGTTTTTTGTTGTATTTAGTTTGAAATGTGAATTTTGTTTTGATTTCAGACCAACAAAAAAGATGAAATGTTGGTATTTAACTGTTAGTAAATGAATGTGTACAAATTCAATAAAGAGTATAGATCTATCTATCTATCTAAATAAAGAGTATCACAATGTGTTGAGAAGACATATTATATAAAAGTTTATAATAGTTGACCGAATACTAAGCCCAGAATGCCTCCAAAGGCCTTCAATAATATCAAATAGAATCCTTCTTTCAGACACCTGTGTGCCTACACTTTTTTTTTATATATATATATATATATATATATATATATATATATGTATGTGTGTGTGTGTGTGTGTGTGTGTATGTATATGTGTACAGGGACACACACAGACAGATATATATATATATATCTGATAGCCCAAATACTTAATTCTTTATTTATTTTTTTGTAGTTTCACAGCACAAACTGTTCAATGAGCATCTGTTGTCGGCCAGTGGTAACCCCGCCCTGGTCATGAGGAGGAAGAAACACACAGAGAAGGAAGTCCATGCCAACTTAATCAGCGTGGTGTCTGTGCGACTGAGAGAGGGCTACACCATCCGAGAGGTCAGCCTCACAAAAGGTAAACTGATGTCTTCTCACAAATCCGAGATATTGATAAAAATCCTGGAGCAAAAAGCTAAACAGAATGTACGGTATAAAAGAGAATAAAGCGGATGGTTTCATGGTGCAGATGCTTTAGTTCCTGCAGCCTTTGACCTTCTTACCTAATTCATTTTAAATCTTGGGTTGATGCTCCTCAAACAAATATTAAAGTGAATCAACTTAATTGAGCGTGCATGTGTGTAGTTCTCATGCTGGTTACTACTTTTGATGCTATGATTATATATTTTTTGAATCTGTAGTGCTGTCATGTTTTGTGTACAACTATGCATTTCCAAATCTTCCATCTGCACCTCAATTTACCCTGAGTTATTAATAAAGACATTCAAAACGTTTTTTTTAAGGTGGGACTCAGCTGGAGGTGAAGCTGGTGTTGTTATGGAAACACAACATGCATATCGAGTATCTGGCAGCTGCCTCTTGGCCTTTGGACCCCGCCAAGAGAACCACCAGGGTGGAGGTGACTATGGAGGGAAGCTACGACATCCTGCATGATATCAGCTGCACCCAGAGGAAGCCCATCACCAGCCCGTACCGCACTTCTGTCATCCGGCGCTTTTGGAACACACTGCAGAGGTACAGCTGTCTAAAAGAGAGCAGGAGAAACACATTTCAACGACCAAAAGATGAGATTCCACTGCTGAAAATGATGTTACCTAACAGCGTGTTTTGTGTTTGTCGTTTCAGCATCAATCAGACCGATCAGATGTTGGTGCACCTCCAGTCCTTTAATTCAGTTCCTGAGAACTACATGATTCCTGAGAGCACCAAAAATGGAGTACCTCTGTTTTACATCCCTCCTGGCTCTACTACTCCGGTACTGTGGAGACCCTCACTGATCACATGTTGCCTGTTCTTACATTTCTATTAATCCAAAGCTACCAAGTGACATTCTTACCACCAGGAGGTGCCAAATAGACATGAATTAATCTTCAGATATTTTGAACAATCAAGCACAGAATTAGTATATTAGCACTTCTCTCTTCAGATGTTTTAAAGAGGACATATTATCCCCCTTCTCCACCTTTTCAAACAGTCCCCTGTGGTCTAAATAAAACATCTGTGCTGAGCTTTGGTCAAAATATAACATGAGTCAAGCACCAGAGGAGGTTTGTGACCCTGTATAAACCAGCTCTCACAGAACGCTCTGTTTTGGTGTGTGTGTCTTTAGTCTCTTCGCTAGCGAGAATAAAAATGGCGGACCTGCGCAAAAGTTTTGCTCTAGGCTGGGGGTGGAGCCCATGGGCGGAGATATCAGGGGAGGGGATTTTTAACCTGATTCCTACAGTGATGCAACAAGGAGAGCACATTTGAAACAGAGTGTTTTTCTCTGTGTTGTAAGACTTATGCAGACCACAAACAAATGACTGGATGGGTTTATTTCACATTTTGTGGGTCTGTAGACGCTCAGGTTACCCAAATATATGTTCAAAAACACTGTAAAAGTGGATTTTTCACATCATGAAACCTGTGTCACCTAAATATTCATAAATCATTCTAAATTGTCAGGTCATAACATCTGCATACTGAATAATACACAACTCTGTCAGAGGCAACGGCTTCACTGCAGACGTTACAATGTGTTACAAATATGTTCAAGAAGATATCTTATGATAATCAGAAAAGTGAACAATATTCGCCACATTGGATTCCTATTCCTCCTCAACTAAAGTTTGTCCTGTAAATCTTTTAATAGTTTATGTTTTTATGTAGACAGCTAGTTGATGTTTCCATCGAGCAAACAGTAATTTTTTATTCTTCCAATTCTTACCCTAACTGTAAAATCCAGGTTAAAGGAGCAATATGTAACTCTGACACCCAGTGTTTGAAATGGGTACTGCAGTCTAAATTCTAAACATTGTAGAGAGCTGTCTCCCCCCGCCCCCTCCTCTCTAAAGTCGATGTTCATGCAGGTTGCCATGTTGTGGACACTGAAGCTTCAGTGTTTAGCCAGCTCTGCATCGGTCTGTAAACCTTTCTGCGTTCTAACCTCTCTCCATTTTTCAAAAGTATTTGAGCACGTTTCTGCTCAAGAGAGCCTCTGAAGAGGCTTTTTAGGTCGGGTACAATCACTTCTATCTGAACCACTTCTCTTGCCTGCTTCCATCACGATAACACCTGTTGGTTCGACGTGATGACTGGTCTCATATCAGGCAAACCGAGGGGCATCCAAAACGGCCGTGTGGGGGCTCCTCAAAACCGCCTACCTTCTCTGGTCCAAACAAATCCAGAGCATTCAGGACCAGAATCTAAAGTTAGAAGGAGGATATAATGGCTGCTGCATTGTTGTCAGAGAAGCCAGCACTCCAACATAGCATGTTTCCTTAATGTCTGATCATATAGTAAGGTCATTTTATCATTTCAAAAACTGGTGTATCATGGCGTTTTTTGATAAAAAAATAAGAAAAATATCCTTAAGTTTGAACAATGGCTTTAATAACTGATATCTTGAATTTGGCCACTGGGTATTTCTTATTGCTAATCATCCCCCACCCCACCCCCATCAACTTGAAACCCATTATCCTTGTGTCTTCTCAACCTTTTTGTAAAACGGTCCGATCGTCCCTTTTGTACAGGTCTTGTCATTGCAGCATGGTGGATCCAAAGACTCCTCCCAGTCCCAGTTTGCTTCCTACTGGAAGCCCATCCTCTCCATGGACGCAAACTTCTGGCAGAGATGGCTGCACATGCATCGCATAACGATATCCTCGAACATGACATGTGAGAAAAAGAACGTTTTGAATACAGATTTTTAAAAAAGTATTACAAGTAGATTCATCCAGGTCTGGACCATCAGTAACGTCTTCACTGATACCAGTGACACTGTATATAGGAGATATATTTTTTATTTAAAAAAGGTGGTTGTGATTAATTAGTTCCATAGTTAAAGAAAATACTTGTTTATCTTTTGAATTCATGAGTGATTATGTCCTCCAGGCCGGTCCCCAAACACCTGCACACAGCTGGCAGCAACGGTCGTTACAGCACCATACAGTGCCGTATCTCCCACTCTGCCCTGACGTCTCTTCTGAGGGACTGGAGCAGCTTTGTGCTGGTGGAGGTCTACTCGTATGTTAAACTCATATACAGGTGAGGCGATGGAGGAAAAGAAACATAAATGGCTCCAGGAGCTGAAATAATTAGATTTATTATGAACGATTGATTATTGAAAATAGTTTCTTATGAATCGAGTAATAAATGTTAGACGTACTTTTGATTGTATCTGATTATTACTCCTGTGTGAATCATCGCTGTATCCATGAACCAAAGAGAAAACAGTCCCAGCTTATTAAGCTCCTTAAAATGAGAATCATATTTACTATATTGTCTTTCTTTGTTTCTTTCTTTGTTTCTTTTGTGTCGCTCTTTCTTTCTTTTTTTTTGGTTTCGTTCTTTCTTTTGTTACTTTGTTGGTTTGTTTCTTCTTCTCTTTTTGTTTGTTTGTTTGTTTCTGTCTCTTTCTTTTTGAACAGTTTTCCTGACCAGCCTCCTACCTCCTTCTACTTGGTCCGTCTCATCTCAAAGACACCGTGTATGGTGCTGCGTTTGGGTTTCCCTATTGGTACAACGGCTCTTGTGAGAAACAAGGTACTGAGAGTAAAACAGACGAGAGAAGAACAATAACTCTGAAATCATTCCCTTCAGTCTAATGCTCAGGTTCTTCTGTCACTCTCAACATGCCCACACATTTGATTCACTTTCAATCAGTCTTTTATTACCAACAAGAAATATAATATTTGCAGTTGAGTAATTGCTCCAAATAGTGTTTCAGATTGTAGATACTTTAATAAAGTAGACTTTGTAAAGAGTCAGTGGATAAAAAGACAATCATGTTGCCATGTCTTTAACCGCTCACTGAAATAAGTGTTTATCACCTCACTTGTGTAACTGTTCTCGGGTAACCTGCTGTTTGTGTTTCTTTAACAGATTGTGGAGGAGCTGCGGGAGCAGATCCTGAAACTCCGCTTCCCTCATCGTGTTCAGAGCAAAGAGGCAACCCCAAAGACAAAAAGGAAAATAGTCGGCCATCCATCGCCATCCAAATCACCCTCAATCCCCGCCCCCAAACCTGCGCTGTCAGACAGGCCGTGTGTGGTGGTGCTCAATAAGCCCCTGGAAAAGCTCCTCATAAGGTTAATGCTTAAGACAACATCAAAACCGCACATTGTTTTACTCTGTCTTATTTTGTATTGTTTTATTTCATAATTCTTCATTTAAAATGTTTGGTAACAGGGGTCTGTGACTAAAAGTCAAGTTGACTCTGGTTTGGAAAGATACGATAATGAGCTTTCCGTTCTTTGTAGGTATGAGAAGCTACCGTTAGACCTTCGCACTCCCTTCATTTTCCACATGGAGAACTTCCCCCCGCCCTCAAACAGCACCGTCCCCCTCAGCATGGCAGCCAACCGCACAGCCTCCTCCACCCTGGCCTCCCTGTCCCGTTACTTCCTGCACCAGCGCTGGGTGTGGAACGTGCAGAACAGCCATGGACTGACTGTGGCCATGCAGGCGGTCGCTCACATCCTGTCCATGCTCTCTGAGTGAGTTCACGCGCCTTTTGGTGGCCATGTTTGCCTTTCATAAGAGTAATTAGTGTTGTGGTACACGAAATCGGTCTTTCTTTTTGAAGGTGTCATCTCTGAATCCAAAGCATTTGTACTCGGTCTTGTCTAGGTCTCAGACTGGGCGGACTCCAGATTTTAAATCATCACTGAAAGGCTATTTTTTCAACGTCATCACTGAGATTAGAAGGAAAATGCCTCTTTTTAAAAGAACAGATAACTTCAGTTTATTTATGATTAGATTTTTATGACCCAACATAGACGGTACATGTTTCATATTAACAGCAAAGCAGAGTGTGTGTTGTACTGATAGAAGAGCAATGGGTTCGATGTTGAATATGCATCTTTTTAAAATGTGTGTGTTGAACATCTGTCCTGGTTTCTGTGAAGGATTCGCATCTCAGAGGGCTTTCACTTTGCGGCCACTGGTGAGGGCATTGTGAACATGGTGATCGAGCTTCCAATGAAGGTAAGTAGCAGCAGTACATCAAAAGAATGTGAACAACAAATGTGAATTTTTCTAATGTTCACATTCTTAAAGGTATTCTTCACCTGCTGAAACATGAATCTGTAATGAAATTGGGTCATACATGTAGTAGAAATGTGAAATACATTTTGAAGTTGGTGCCTTCTTGACCCAGAAAAGGCAGAAAGTGTCTTTTTGGCTCATGTGGATGAAAGACACCAACTCCCAGAATTTGGCCACTCTGCTCTATTTACAGACTAATTATACTATATTTATAACGGCTCGTAGCGATAGCCGCAAATATCCGATTCGAGCACAAGACCTTCAAAATCCCCTTCATCCCTATCAGTTTGAAGTTGAAACATACTTTTATCATACTTTAGTTCTTCTCAACTTTCTGAGACTGTTAGCATAGCTTCCAAGCAAGATGGTGGACGTTCAGTTTCGATTCTGGGAGTGCAGTCCCACCCACTGATCTGTGATAGCTCTGTAGCTTCAGTGGCGATGTAGTTTCACCCCCTCTAACCGAAGCAGCCTCAGAAAATGCAAAATGATGATTTTTGCATCATCGGAGGCTCCTTTTTAGACAAGAAATACAGATCTTTCCTATCTCAGGGGAAAATGAGGGCGGGATGTACGACCAATTGAAAAATACTACCAGGTTTCTAATGATACCAAGCTAAATGCAAATGGGTGAAGTATCCCTTTAAGAACTGAAGTTCTTGGATATAAAAACTATTACTTATTTGTTTCTTCTTTTCTCTTCATCTTTAGGCTGTCTCAGGGGAGACTGACAGAGAGAGTCACTCCTGTATCATTCAGTACATCCTGTTTCCACCTCACTCTACATCCACCAAGGACAGGTGAGACTGGGAGCATCATCTGTACCGTATTTTGTCAGCTGTGGTCAGGTATAGTTCAGACACAAGTTCTTTGCCGTGTGTCATCTCTATATCTCTTTCTGCCACCTGCACAGTCTCTCTTCAGCTTTGTCTGTTACAAAACTCTGCAGACAAAAAAAGCTTTCAAAAAATAGTTTGGGCAGCAAAGGATTGAACCTGACTCCGATCCAATCTATTCTGTTTGTAATGTTGAAAATGTAGACTTCAGTTTCCAACCTAAGTAGTAACACAATGCAATGGCCAAGTTCAATCAATCAATCGTTATTTTTACAGCACTTATTCAAAACAAGTGTTACCTCGAGACGCTTTACAAAAGAGCAAATGGGATAATATGCAGGAAGGATTTCTCCTTTGTATTCCTCGCGTTCCTGTTGTCCACACTTCCTTGACCCTGAGGTGGAGGTAGGAGCGGGCCGTGCATGAATGAGGACAGCCGTGATTGTGGGACGACACAGTCCGATGGGGTGGCTGGGCGTCGGGCGGTTAAAGACAGAGTCAGTAGCTGTTTCTGATGAACTTATACAAAAGTAAATTGGCTCAATCATAATTTCTGGGCCTTCATACATGTGTGGTGGTAGATGTCTTTTTACTTGACTGGACGTTTCCTGAGGAGGGAGGGAGAGTATGTCACGGGGGAGTTCAAACGAGGGTGAACCTTGGGTCTGCTTTTACCTGTTGATGCATAGTTGGTCTGCTTTCTGCTGGACAGGAGGGGGTCAAACACCTTAGCTCAGGGTTAGCGTCTGCTAGCTTGCTAA